ATATTAAATGTGTGATTTGCAATTAAAATATATGGTTGTGACCCACAAATTGTGTTTATGTGATTGTGATCGTGTGATTCGTGACTAATATGTAACCGTGATGATAAATTGTATGTTATAGTGATATTGTGACATGTTTAATTATAGGTTACAGTATTTTATCAAATGACACGAAATATGACTATTTGATCATATGCACCACCGTCGGAGACCAACTTCGAGCGTTGCTGCGTTGTTGAGAAGAGGAAGTTGCATGCAGCGGCATCGCAGCAACAATAGTTCTAAGAAGAGAAATTGCATATAGCGGCATCGGCTCTGCATAGGTGGTGATGAGAAGAGAAAGCCCTCGTTTGGCCCACATCATTGCTTTTTTTTTTTTTTGTGGTCGGAGTGGTGTTGCTGGAGGTGGTAATGTAGATGTAGGTGCTAGTTTTTGTGGTGGTGGTGGATCTAGCGGTGGAGGTGTAGACGTAGGTGCTCGTTTTGGTTTTTGTATTGTGTTGTGTTGGATTGTTGTGACCAATTATCTGGGTGATTATGACTAATAAAATGATTAATTTGTGATCAATAAATAATTTGTGGCTAATTATTTGGGTGATTGTGACCAATTAATTTGATATTTTGTGATTGTAAAATAAGTCATGACTTGTAAAATTTGTGGTATGTGTTCAAGAAATAATATCTGGTCAATTAATTTAATAACTTGTAATTATAAAATAAATTGTATTAAATTAATTGTGACCTATAATGTTTTTGAATTTTGAATTGTGATTGGGAAATAATAGGTGATCTTTCAATTTGATAATTTGCGATCGTTAAAAGAAATTGACATTTATAAAATTTGTGATTTGTGGTTGAGAAATAATGCTTGACCAATTAATTTGATACTTTTGATCGAGAAATAAGTTGTGACTTATAAAATTTGTAGTTGCGACCATGAATTGTATAATACTGTAACCTTAATCTTTAATATATTTAATTAATAAAATATTTTTTAAATTAATAAATCTTAATTAAGACTTGATTTTTGAAATTTTAAAATAATTTTCTTAATTTTGAATTTGTGTGTTATAATAAGAGGAATTAGACATAATACTTTAAAAAGAAGAAAAAATTGATTAATACACTTAAACAAAATTAAAATTTTAATAACCGTATTAATTACGTCCACTAAAAATATAACACATTTAAAAGGTAGTAAAATCATTCCAAAGAGGAATGGCCGCACGATATTTTTCACTTTTTAAATTTTTTTATTGTTAAAAAGTTCATTTGATACAGTATTTCCAGCTACGATTATCCTTTTTGAGCGATTTAAAATCTATTAGAAAGCTTGTAATGTGACCAAGATAAATATGTTATAGATGTTAGGAATATTGAGTCTAACTCCACCTAATAAAATCGGCTTATTAGGGGAGGATTGCCCTCACCTTATTAAGTGGATCATTTATATTTTTCCAAATAATGTGGGATTCTAATACGGCCCCTCACGCACAACATAGACCATGCCAAACAACTGTGAACAAATCGATANTGCTCATTTTTTTTGGAGTCTTACCGGGGATGGAATCGCTCGTTAGAGCATAATGGGCTCTGATACCATGTTAGGAATATTGGGCCTAACTCCACCTAATAAAACAGGCTTATTAGGGGAGGATTGCCCTCACCTTATAAAGTGGATCATTTATATTTTCCCAAACAATGTGGAATTCTAATAATAGATGAAGTTTAAATGTCGAAAATTATTTTGCATGAATTATTGAACTCAATTTCTTGATGCATTCGAAAGATGTATTTCAAAGTTTGGCGTGAATACTTTGAAACGACAACAAAAACCTCACTCGACAGGTGAATAAAATTGCTCGTAAATAGGCCAAAACTGGCATGGCCAAAACAGAAATTAAAAGAAAAAATCTAACTATGTCACCCTTTCACTTTCACATTTTCGTAAAAATCTTGGATGCATCAATTGAATTAATTCAAACAAATAAGAATTAAATGTAAGACTAAAATAAGGTTTGAATTCATATATTTAAATTTTTGAAAATACACGTATGCATCTAGTTAATTGATCCATTGAGACACCGCGATTTTTTCAAATAATCTCACTTTTTTACATTTAAATTTTTCGCAAATACATTGGATGCGTTAATTGAATCGATTCAAAGAAATACGAATAGAATGCAAAATTAAAACAAGTTTTGAATTCGTATATTTTAATTTTTAAAAACACATAGGTATATATTTAGTGAATTACTTCAATGTGATAATGCAATTTTTTCATAGAAAAGTGACAGTAGATCATTTTTTCACACTCTCATTTTCACGACACCTTGAATATATCAATTGAATTGATTCAAATAAATATGAATTGAATTGCAAGATTAAAACAAAATTTCAATTAGTATATTTAAATTTTCAAAAACACATATATATGCATCTAGTTAATTGCTTTAATGAGATATTGTGACTTTTTCTGCCCTTGTTTGAGTCACATTATTTTTTTCATTCTTATTCTTCTACTTATTTTCAACCACACATTTTTCAATAAAATAATATTTTCCATCTATCAATAAATTTTCCTTCTTTTTCAACCACATATTTCTCATCACATCACTTCAAAAAAATGCATTCTCTCATTTTAATGTGCACCAAACATGCTCAGGTTTTCATTTTCGCAAACACCTTGCATGCATCTATTAAATTGATTCAAAGTTAATTTTCATATGTATTAACGTAAAATAATGTTTGAATTCATATATTAAATTTCAGAAAATCTACGTATATGCATCTAGTTAACTGTTTAAATGAGATACTGCGACTTTTTTTTTTAATGAAAAGTGACAGAATGCGACTTTTTCATAGAAAAGTAATAAAATGTCACGTTTTCACATTCTCCTTTTTCCAACCACCTTGCATTCATCTATTAAATTAATTCAAAGTTAATTTTCCATATGTATTAACATAAAATAAGGTTTGAATTCGTTTATTTGAATTTCCGAAAATGCATATCTATGTAAATCTAATTAATTGCTCCAATAAGATACTGTGACTTTTTTTTTTTTTTTTATAGAACAAGTCGATTTTCCAAATGCTTTTCGCAACACCTTTCATGCATCCATTGAATTGATTGAAAATTAATTTTTTATATATATCAATGTAAAATAAAGTTTGGATCCATATATTTAAATTTTCAAAAATAAACAAGTATTATGTCTAGTTAATTGCTTTAATAAAATACTGCGACCTTTTCTTTTCTTTTTTTTTTTAACAGAAAAGTGATAGGACGTCACTTTTTCAATTCACTTTTTCTCAAACACCTTGCATGCATCAATTTAATTGATTCAGAATTTTATTTTTCATATGTTTTAAAACAATCCATTCCCTCTCAAAATCTATAACGTTATTTCCAAATATTTTTTCAGTTACAATAGCAAAATCATCAAAAAAAGAAACTTCAAAAATGCCAATTATTTACATTCTATGATTCAAACTAAATTAATCACGAAATTCAAAGAAAAGTGATGTACACAATGCAAGAAGATGATTATAATTTGTAAGTGGGAGTTTATTCACCTCGAAATTGATAATAACAGCTACTGTTTTATAAATCTGTGTAAAGAGAGCATTAAACAACCTTACAATTACAGAATTGGTGAACTAATTAAAGAAAAATCCAACACATCAAAAACCAGTAATTTTTGTTTGGATATTTTTAGATTTGGGAAAGAGAACTTTGAAAAATGATAGTTGAAGCAATCTTGGTCTCGTTGGTGCTTTATTTGTGGAAGATTATTTCTTTTCCTTTCGATTTTCTTTTGATTTTTCTAGATTGGTGGGCTGATTTTTGACAAACTGTTGTGGATTATGTTTGGGTATAAAATATACGTTCAGTTTTAATTATTTTCATTTAATCAAAGTTTATCATGTTTTTTCAAGTTACCCCAAAATATAGGGTATTTGTACAAGTACACCTTATAATAACTACCTTAAATATGATTTTTTTTTTCTCGAGAAGTGGAATTGGCCCAAAATAGAAATTTTATTAAAAATGAAAAGAAAAATAATTAGTTCAAAATACAGAATGTGACTTTAGGGCACGTTTGATAGCCCTTTATTTTCCATGGAAGTTGGAATTGAAATTCCGTTTCCTACTTTTGTCGTGTTTGATTGCACTTTTTTTCCCTGGAATTGGTTTTCCACCTTTTTCTAAGTACAATCATTTGATGCACAAAAACTTGATTTTGTTTTCT